CTTCCAGTCCCTGGGGTTTTGGGAGCTGCGGGCTTCTGCAGAGATGGCCAAGTCCAAGAACCACACGACGCACAACCAGTCCCAAAAATGGCACAGAAATAGCATCAAGAAACCCCGGTCACAAAGATATGAATCTCTTAAGGGGGTAGACCCCAAGTTCCTAAGGAACATGCGCTTTGCCAAGAAGCACAACAAGAAGGGCCTGAAGAAGACACAAGCCAACAATGCCAAGGCCATGAGTGCATGTGCTGAGGCCATCAAGGCCCTGTCAAAGCCCAAGGAGCCCAAGCCCAATATCCCAAAGGGCAGCAGCCACAAACTCAATCTATTTGCCTACATCACTCACCCCAACCTTGGGAAATGTGCTCGTGCCCGCATTGCCCAAGGTCTCAGGCTCTGCCGGCCAAAGGCCAAGGCTAAGGCATAAACCAAGCCCCAGGCTGCGGGTGTGGCTGCACCTCAGACTCCCAACAGGGCTCAGGCTCCTGCCCCCCAAAGTGCCCAGGCCCCCACGAAGGCTTCATAGAGGCCTCTGTCTGCTGATGTGAACTGGTGGTTCCCTTAGGCTGCTGTCTGCATGGAGCTGGTGTTCTCCTATGCTGTTTGGATCTGTTTAAAAAAAAAAAAAAAAAGATAAGATAATCAGTGGAACAGAATAGAGTCCAGAACTAGAACCACATGTGTATGAAGGACTGATTTTTACAATGGTGCAAAAGCAATTCAATAGAGAAAGGAAACTGTTTACAAGTGGTACTGGAACAATTGGATATCCATACGCAAAAATGAACTTGGATTCATACTTTGTACTGTGTACAAAAAACTTGAAATGGATTATAAATTAAGTCTAAAACCTAATATAAAAATCTATTGAAATAAACATAAGACTATAAAACTTTAGATGAAAACATAACAGAAAACCTTCATGATCTTGGGTAAAACAATGATTTCTTATATAGAGCACTGAAAGCACAATCCACAAAAGAACAAGTTGATAATTTGAACTTCATCAAAACTTCTTCTCTTCAATATACCCTGTGAAGAAAATGAAAAGACCAGGCACAGATTGGGAGAAAATAATGGCAAGTCTTATATAGGTCTTGTATCCAGAATATATAAAGAACTTTCAGAACTCACAATAAGAAAACGGACAACCCAAATTTTAGAATGGACAGATACTTAACCCATAAAATGTTCAGATGGCAAATAAGTGCATGGAAAGATCCTCAACGTTAGGGAAATATAAATTAAAATTACCAGGAGATACCACTCCACATAAGAATAAAATGGAAAAGACTGACTATACCAACTGTTGACAAGGATGTGGAGGAACTGGAACTTTCATACACTGCTGGTGGGAGTGTAAAATGGGACAATCACTTTGGAAAACACTTTGGTTATTTCTTAAAAAGTTAAACATATGCCATATGACCCTGCCATTCCACTGCTAAGGATTTCCACAGAGAAAAGACAGTGTATGTCCACACAGGCAAGCAGCTTTATTTGTAATAGCCCCGTGTTGGAAACCCCAAATGTCCATTAGCAGGTAAATGGATAAACAAACTGTAGTCTATCCATCCAATGGAATGCAACTTAGCAATAAAAAGGCAAAAATCATCAATTCATTAACAATATGGCTTATACCCAACTATCAAGCTGAGTGAAAAGCCAGACAAAATAAGGGCACACTGTATAATTCCGTTTATATAAAATTCAAGGAATCCAAACTATAGTAACAGAAAGCAGATCAGTAGTTACCTGGAAATGGAGTGGTGAAAGAAAAGATTGCGAAGCATGAGGAAACCTTTCAGAAATGATGGATATTCCTCTCTTCATTGTAATAATGGTTTCATGGGTGTATACCTATGTCAGAACCTATCAAATCATCTACTTTAAAAACAAGGTTGTTGAGCAGCAACCTATGAACCAAGAGGTCATGGTTCAATTCCAAGTTAGGGAACATGCCCCGGTTGCAGGCTCAATCAATGCCCAATGTGGGTCATGCAAGAGGCAGCCAATCAGTGATTCTCATCATTGATGTTTCTATCTCTCTCTCTCTCCCTCTCCCTTACTCTCTGAAATCAATCAGTCAATCTATCAATCAATAAGTAAATAAACACAAAGTGGTGCAAAAGGAGGCTTACAGTTGTTAGTATGCAAAATACAGAGTTCATAAAGCTATTTTAATCATAACCTGCATGTCTTCCTCCATACAAACAACTGTAAGCCTACTTTTGCCCTACCCTGTTGTGCATTTATTGTATGTCGATTGTTCCTCAATAAAGATATCTTTAAAAGATATTAATAGGACCTGGCTGGTTTGATCAGTGTTTAGAACATTGGCCCTCAGACCAAAGGGTCATGGGTTTGATTCCTAGTCAAGGGCATGTACCTCAGTTGCAGGTTATATCCCTGGCCCCAACTTGTGCAGGAGGCAACCAAAGTGTCTCTCTCATATGAATGTGGTGTTTTTTGTTTTTTGTTTTTTGGCTCTAACTACTCCCCTCCTACCTCTCTTTCACTTTCTCTAAAAATCAATAGAAAAAAATATCCTCGGTTGAGGATTTAAAAAAAAAAAAAAAGAAAAAAAAATATTAATGGCAGATTCTAGTGAAAAGGCCACTCTGACCAACTGTGCCTTAAGCAAGTTGTTGAATCTCTAGTTTCCTAATGTTAAAGTTGGAATAACATTACTTTCCTTGTAGGGTTGTTGAAATAACAATTTAAAATAACATGTTAGATATCTTTTATACAAAATACATGCTCCAGTAGTAATAAAATATAATAATTCTTTCAAAATAACAAGGAGAAAAGTAATTAGCTGAATCTAAAGTGCCCTGCTTGCATATATCTGAAGAGATTTCTTTGGAGGGTTTGAAGGCCATTGCCCCTGGCTTCCCAATTCCTTCGGTCACAGATTCACATACAATGAATTGCAGTTCATATCGAGGTAAAATTTGACCCACCCATTTCTCTTACTCTGTTCCCATATCTCACCCACATCTCTGCTCCCAGTTTGGTCAGATCTGAAAGGATAGTCCCTTAGTATCTGCCATTGCACAACTCTACTCACTGGCCACCCCACTGCCTCATGGTCTCTTTCTCCTCCTCCTAATGTTGAGACCTAGAACCACATAGACTTGTAGCAATCAATCAGGAAGAAAACTCTCCTGGGAAGATTGAGAGAAGATGTGTGTCAATCACACAGCATGGTTATTGGCTCATTGAGATATGTAAATGCTAGCCACTGTGGTTTTACTGAATGTTCCTGCTTTGGTGTCCCCCTCACACACACCCAGAGAGCTCTGCCATAGTCTTTGGAGCCAGTGAATTGCCAATCCGGTCTAGGCGCGTGGGTGGAAAAGATAGACACGATTCCTGCCCTCAAAGAGTGCAGAGTTCATGAGCCACTTAGTGGGGCACATGGCTGGGTTCAAAGAGGGGAAAATCAACGTGAATGGAAGTTGTTGGGAAAACATCATGGAAAAGAGGAGAAAGAGAAGCTGCTTGTTTGTGTGTGCTGTGTGTTTGTAATCCCCAACCCGTTAGCCTTGTAATTTACCTTAATTAACATGTTTTTGTTGAACAAGTGAATGAGGATAGCTGGAGATGGTATTGTCAAAAGGAGAGAAGGGCTGGGAGCAACTGAGGCCCAGAGCTGGGAATGAGGAGGGCCCATTCGGCTAAAGAAAGGCCCAGCCCAGGAAAGAGCCTGATCCGGGGGATGGAATGAGGGTGTGGGGTGAACGGCAGGATGAAGATCCTGGACATTAGGTTAGAGTATCTAGGAAGATCGATACTCTGCATGAGGCAGTGCCACCCATACCCAGGTCTTTTCTTTGGCTCTATTGGGTCTTCAGAAGCTGTGGGCACACATCCACTCTTTAGTTCCCTAGACAAGGTGAGCCAAATGGAGAATTTTCTAGTTTTTAGTTCCTTCTCCCACCCACAGATTGGCATCTCCTCCTCCCTCCCCCATTCCTGGCTAGAGGAGCTGCCTGACAGGACAGGGCGGCTGGCACACAGGTTCTCACACATTTACACGTGCCACTCACTCGGGCTCCTAGTCACTTCTGAACATCAGGGAACCAACACCAGAGCCAATCGGAAAACCAGCAGGGACTTCTGGCCGAGCCAGTCAGGAAGGAACAGACGTAAGAACAGGCTGTGCTAACCAGGGTGCCATGCACAGTGTCCTGAGCCAGCTGGCTCCGGTCCCACCTGCTCACTGCTGACCGGGAGCTAGAACATGGCTCAGGGCCTACAGGCAGGGAGCTCAGGGCAGCCGATCTGCCTGGTGCCTCCTGGCCCCTGATTTGAACCCTTAGAGCCCTCCCTTGTGCCTCTTGAGATCATTCGAGTTTCTAGAAACTTTTGGCAACGTGAGGAAAAGTTACGTCATCCCAAACCAAATGATTTCCCATTTGACCACTGCGCCAAGGCCTGTGGGTGTTCAGTGTGCCCACGAATGCCCTCCAAGTAGCTTGGGGTCTGACCCTGGGTCTGGGTGGGCTGCTCCCTCCCTTTGAGGTGCATTCCTGACAGATACTCAAGGACTGTGCTAAAGGGACGGTTGGAGCAAAGAAAGAACAACATGTCTTTCTGCCCAGCCGTGGAGAAGTGGGCTTTTTCTCTGCTGGAGACAGATGGGAGCACAAGTCCTTTGGATCAAGGCTCCTTGATCTGGCGCTCTGAGCTGGGACGGAACTCTGTTCTCTTTGCCATCCAGCGAAGGCGCCCTCCTCTTTGCCCCTCTCCCCGGCTACCCCCACCCAAACCAGAGCCTTGTTTCTCCTGCCCGGGTGCTCTGGGCAGCAGCCACAAGGCCTGAGCGATGGAGTCTGAGCTTGGAAAACCCCTCGCCCGGAATGTGCATGCCTCTCTGTGGCCGTGCCCGTGTGTGTGTGTGTGTGTGTGCATATGTGTGCGCGCGTGGAATTGCACGTGAGCGTGTGTGACAAAAATCGCTTCTGGAGCATGTTGCCCTCTGTCTGCCCATCCAGGTTACTCCTCGCTGCAGGACGAGCTGCTGTCCCCCGCCTCCCTGCACTACGCGCTTCCCTCTCCGCTGCGTGCAGACCAGTACTGGAACGAGGTGGCCGTCATAGACGCCATCCCCTTGGCGGCCACGGAGCATGACGCCATGCTGGAGATGTCTGACATGCAGGTGTGGTCCGCGGGCCTCACACCCTCTCTGGTCACTGCTGAGGACTCCTCTCTGGAGTACAGCAAGGCCGAGGACTCTGACGCCACCGGCCACGAGTGGAAGCTGGAGGGGGCGTTCTCCGAGGGAACGCAGGGCCCCACGCTGGGCTCCCTGGACCTCGTGGAGGATGACACAGTGGATTCAGATGCCACAAATGGCCTTATCGATTTGCTTGACCAGGAGGAAGGTCAGAGGTCAGAAGAGAAGCTGCCAGGTCATGAGAGGCAGGAGGACTCAACAGGTGCAGGGCAGGACTCAGAGAATGAAGTGTCTCTTGTTTCAGGCCAGCAGAGGGTGCAAGCCCGCATCACAGAATCCCCCACTGTGAGTCGGGTGATGGAGACAAGCCAGGACAGGTAAGGGCTGGGCTTGTCGGGTGGGGTGCCTTGCCTCTCCCTGGGTTTCCAGAGGACATTGTGCCTGGCAGCTCAGATGCTGCTGCCCACCCGGACTCTGTGTTCTAAACACCCTGGGACCAGCCCATTCAGTATCACCAGCTGGCCTCCGGAGCCGCCCAGAGCTCAGTCTGACCCCGGTCCCGTGAGAATGGAATTGTGCTCTGCAAAGGCCAGTTCCTCCCCAAGACACCCCTGGCTGTGGCCCAATGGAGAGAGGCTTAGGGCGTTGGGATGGGGGAGCACCCTTAGGAGAGAAGTTCTAGGCTTGGAGGAACCGTGCCTCTAAGTGCAGCTGGGGCTGGGTGCCCGGGCCCCTATCGCCGCCGAGCGCTTATCGTTGAAGACCATATTTAGAAACCTCCAAGCCCCGGGGCCCGGGGAGTCATTTGTACGGTCACACAGCGTGCGTGTGACAGAGCTGATAGTGGTGCCCTCTCTCCTTCACCTTTTTGAAACTGGGAGGCTGGTGGGTTTATCGGGGCAGGACAGAGCTTTCAGCTGTCCAGAGCCGGCTGTTCTTGTGGGTGACTCCTCCCCAAGCTCCCTGTGGCCAGAGGCCTGGTGCCGAGCCGACAGCAGGGAAGCGTCGTGGCAGTTTGGGCAGAAGGGCCTTATGCACCTCTGGGACCCAGAGAGCCCTCAGATCCTGGCCGGGCTCGCAGCCACACGGTGGACACCACACTCTGGGGCCTCATGGCGAGAGGGAGAGAGGAGCCAGGCATGTAGTGGGTCCTGCTGGACCAGCTGGAACAGGAAACAAGCGGCGGCAGCTGTTTCTCCCATGTCGCCATGCTTCCCCAATTCTCCCTAAAGCAAGGACACAGTTTATTTGTTCCAGAGGCTGTGGCCACCCAAGGAGCTCAGGCCCGGCCAGGCCGTGGGAAACCTGTTCTCATTTCCTCTTCCCATCCACACTGCTCCGCTCAAAATGTGGAGCTGCCTGGCCAGTCCCCAGGGTTCACTCAGTGTGGCCCGAACACCACTGGTGGAGGGAAAGGAAGGTCGTTTAGAAGATGCACGGATTTATTTAGTTCCCAAACTAATTCTTTAAGTGGTGGGAGGGGGAGAACTGGACAGCCTGAGGCTGTGAGGATTTAGAGTGAAATACTGGCTTCCCTGTGAGAGAGACCATCCTCCAACAACCCTGATTGATGGCCATTCATCCAACAGCGCTGATGGACACTTCGTTGAGAGCTGGCCTCTGCGCCATGGCCACAGCGGGGTCACCAGATGAGGAACCAGAAGGCCTGGACGCTGGGCCTCAGGGTGTCACAGTGTGGCTCTGTGACCTTGGTCAGCCCCCTGAGTGAATTTTGTTCACTCACTCAGCAATATGTCTTGAGTACCTACTAGGTGCCAAGCATGTATAAAAAATGCCGAGGTCCTGGGGATATGGCACTGAACAAAACAGTCTCTACTTGTAAGAAGTTTATATTCTAATGGAGAAACAGATGGTAAACAAGATAAATTAAATAAAATTAAAAGAGAAATGCTAGATATTAAGTGATAAAAAGAAAAATAAAGCAGGGAATGGGAGCAGGAGGGGTGTGTGGCGGGGGTGGGTGGGGTGGGGGATAGAAGGAGGGTTGAAATTATAGATAAGGTGGCCAGGGGCACTAGGGAGAGTGACGTTGGAATAAAGACTTAAAGGAATTGGGTGACATCCAGCCGAAGGCCCAGCTCATGCAGAGGCCTTGAAGTAAGGCATGCCTGGCATAGTCAGGGAACAATGAGGAGGTCCCTGTGCCTTCAGTTACCGACCCAGGAAGACGGAGTCAGGGAGGTAATAAGGCCAGATCCTGAGGCTCACAGAAAGACGTGGGCATTTACTGGGAGGAACGCAGAGCCATTGGAGGGTTCTGAGCAGAGGAGTGGGGTGATCTAACCGATGCCTGGAGAGCAGCCTGACGTGGCCAGGGCAGAAGCAGGGAGAGGAGCGCGGAGGCCAGTGTTGGTGATGTGGACCCACAGGGTAGCCGTGGTAATGGTGGTGGCGAGAAGTGGTTATGCTCAGGGCATATTTTGAAAATTGAACCAAAAGGCGGGGTGGAGTGTGAGCAACGGAGGTCAAAGAGCTCACCAGTGTCCTTGACCTGACAACTGAAAGGATGAAGGTGCCCTTTACCACAGACTGGGGAAGACTGGGCGGAATTGGTCTGACTGTGTCCTCAGGGTACCTGCTAGGAATCCTGTTAGAGGAGAGGTGTTGAGGAGGCTGTTTCCCACCTGCAGTTGAAGGAAGAGGTGCTGAGGCCAGGCACTGGGCATGAGCAGCAGGAGGACGGGGTATAAAGCCGTGGCCTGAACACGCTCCTTTAGGAAGTGGGTGTAGACAGAGCTGAGGTCTGAGAATTGAGCCCTGGGTGCTCCAACGCTCAGAAGTCAGGGAAATTAGGAGGAACCAACAAAGGACACTGAAAAGGAGAGGCCAGAGAGGGGCGGGGGGGGGGGCCGGGGAACCAGGCAAACGGGGTGTCCCAGAAGCCATGGGAGAGCGTGTTTCCGGGGGGGGGGGGGTGGCTGCCCTTCAGGTGAGCACTGAGATGGGGACTGTTGCCTGCAGGGCTGGAGGGGAGGTAAACAGTGATGGGTGCAGAGGCCCCAGGACTGGATCTTTGCTGTGAGCCTAGTGCCTTGGGAGCCCAGAGCGGGGTCGTCCATTCAAAGGGAGGGGACCAATGGCACTGGTACCCGTGGCCCTCCCCACCTGGACAGCATGGATGGCCCAGCAACCAGCTATGTGATTTGCCCCCACTCTTCCGTCCCTTGGGTGGGCCGAATAGGATGTGTCCTGGGTGAGCCAGAGCTCTGGAGGGAGAGGGTATCTCCGAGGGCAGAGACTGAGGGTGACCGGGTGTCCTTTCTCTCTTCCGGGACCCCAGACTGCAGGACTGGGATGGGGAAGGCTCCATCGTCTCGTACCTGCAAGATGCGGCCCAAGGTTCCTGGCAGGAGGAGGTCACGCGAGGCCCACACTCCTTCCAGAGAACCGTCACCACCGTCAAAGGGCTGGAGCCCAGTGGGTCTCGGGAGTATGAGAAGGTGCTGGTGTCTGCGACCGAGCTCTTGCAGCCAGAGCAGCCCGAGGCGGAGGGCCTGCAGGCTGACCGGGAACGGAGACACCGAGAGCGGCTGCAGGAGGCGGAGAGCACCTTCTCCCAGATGCTAAAGGTGAGAGCCCGCAGGGAGGGGCCTGCCGATGCCTGTCCCAGCACCAGGCGACCTCCTCACTCCGCGGGCAGCCGAGCGTGTTTATTTGCTTTAAGCATTGTGGCGGTGACTTCGCTTTCTCTAGAAGCTTCCGTGGTCTTGGTCTGTCTGTCTGGGTCCTTGACCCCCTACTGTGTGGAGCTCCTGAGCATTCAGGCACAGACTGTGCTGTCATCACCCTCACAGCTGCCCGGCTCCGAGCGGTCATTCCCATCTGCAGCTGATGGTTGAGCTACATGCCCAAGGTCACAGGGTCAGAAGTGGGCTTTGAGTCCACTCTGGCTGACTCCAAAGCCATGGTTCTTGTTTTCTCTTTTCGTCGTGTTTTAGAAAGGGTTTGGAGCCTGGTGTCAGGCTAACTGGTCCAACCATGGTCTGCGAGGGGACCCTCTCTTCTTGGCACCTTGGTTTCCTCGCTGGTAAAGAGGAGTGAATGGATGCAAGGCTCACCTAGCATCGTGGTTGGCAAACTGCGGTTCACGAACCACATGTGGCTCTTTGGCGCCTTGAGTGTGGCTCTTCCACAAAATACCACGGCCTGGGCGAGTCTATTTTGACAAAGTGGCGTTAGAAGAAGTTTAAGTTTAAAAAAATGTGGCTCTCAAAAGAAATTTTAATCGTTGTGCTGCTGATATTGGGCTGTTGAGTTTGCCGACCACTGCCCTAGCAGGAAGTCTGGTTCCTGGGTGGGCTCATCAAGGGACACGGGAGAGGGATGGGGAGAACTTCCCAACAGAGACTTGCTCTCCTCTCTCCGGTTCCTGGCCTCCACCAGCTCTCCCTCCTTCCATCCCTTTCAGTTTGTCTTACTGTACTTTTTCTGATCGTTCACTTTTATCTTCGTGCTCCATTCTCATTTTCTTGCCTCTCCTCATTCCCACGGGCTTCCATTTTAATGTGGGTTTTGTTTGTTGGTTTGTTTGTTTAGATATGTTTTTATTGATTTCAGAGAGGAAAGGAGAGGAAGAGAGAGAGATATCAATGATGAGAGAGGATCATCGATTGGCTGCCTCTTGCATGCCCACACGAGGGATCAAACCCACAACCTAGGCATACACCTTGACCCGGAATTGAACGATGACCTCCTGGTTCATAGGTTGACACTCACTGAGCCATGCCGGCCAGGAATTAATTTTTTTTTTAAGTTTTATTATAAAAAACTGCAAATAAATATAAAAACAGACAGAATATCATCTTATCTCTCTATGCATACACCCAGGCTGCACAATTCATGGCCAATCTTGTCTCATCTGAAACTCACTCCACTCTCTCTCACCTCCTCATATTATTTTGAAGCACATATCTTCTTTTTTTTTTTTTAATATATTTTATTGATTTTTCATAGAAAGCTAGAAACATCAATGAGCTGCCTCCTGCACATCCTGGGGATGTGCCCGCAATCAAGGTACATGCCCTTGACCGGAATCGAACCTGGGACCCTTCAGTGTGCAGGCCGACGCTCTATCCACTGAGCCAACTGGTTTAGGCCAGATATCTCCTTAATGTGTCTTTTATATGTATGGGTTCTTATAAAATTTGCGTTGCTGGTCTGTGTCCAGGGCTTTTTAATGTGTGCACGAGCGGTGTGTTCTGTGTCTCCTTTGGTTTCTTACTGTTCAGTCAGCACCGTTTCCTCACCCAGCATCTGCTTTCTTCCTCCCTGTCCCATCTGCTTCTTTCTCCTCTTCCTGTGCGCCTGTCTGAGGCCAGTGCCTGCAGCACCTTCAGGACCACAGGACTCACTAGCTCAGTGGCCCCAGGCTGCTGACAGTCAGGAGCTGCTAGGCATTGAATCAGGTTTTATTTAGAATGCGTCCTTGCCAAGTATGCGCCTCGGACAGGACAGGCAGCTGCGTCGGTTTTTAACCCCAGCCTGCCCATCGAGCTCGTCCTTGGTGCCCACTGCTGCTGCTCCCCAGCAGCAAGTGCTCGGCCCAGAGCAAAGGAGCTCTTAACCGGGTTTGAACTCCTGACTCCCGGGGAAAGAGAAGACTGCAGGGGCGATATTTTCCACCTTTCCTCTGCGGTCAGCCGTTGGTGAGGGAAACCTGGGGAGAAAGCAGGATCACCCCAGAGGTTGAGGGGAGAAACCCTCCAGGTCATTTGGTCCATCTGACTCATGTACCAACGAGCAAACTGAGGCCCAGAGTGGCTGAGGGTGTGCCCAGGGTCACATGAGACGAACCAGCGACAGAGCCAGGAGTGTCCAGATCTCCTCCCATTTCCCAGTGGATGTGTCATTACGGGGCAGGAGGAGGGGCGCAGGATTGGAGGGTGTGGATGAGCTGTTGTCCTAATCATCTGGCAGGACTGGGGGTGGGGAGGACATGATCACGAGGTCCGTTTAAGGTGACGGTTTACAAAGCACCCATTTGCCAGTCTTGCCAGTGAATCTCTGGAAACAGTGGCAGAGATATAGAGAGAGGCCTGGGCAGGCCTGAAATGACCGTGAGCCAGCCAGTCCTCCCCTAAGGACCTGAGGGGAAATACCTGAAATTGGGCTCTTCTTGGCTGGGCCAAAAACCAGATAAATGTGGCTTCTGTTTTTCCAGTGCTTTCTTGTTGAAGTGAGGCAGTGCTGTGCCGTGGTGGGAGTTTGAAATCTGACTCCTTCGTTTACTTGCTCTTTCACATAGGCAAGTGCCTTAACCTGTCTGTGCCTCCTTTTCCTTTGTGGAAGGTGATAGAGATTGCAAGGCTAAAGTGATTAGTATATGAAGTACATGGGGATGATGCCTGCAGAGCAGTGCACACTGCAGTATTTGCTGTTATTATTGACTAGAGGCTCAGTGCACTTGGGGGTCCTTCAGCCTGGCCTGTGCCCTCTTACAGTCTGGGACCGCTCAGGGGATGTCTGCCTGCCAGCTTAGGGATAGAGCCTAAGCCGGCAAGTGGACATCTCCCAACGGCCCCTTAGCACTGCTGCGGAGGCAGGAGAGGTGCCTCCCACCACCAGCGCTGTGCTCGCCAGCTGCGAGCCTGGCTTCTGGCTGAGCAGTGCTCTCCCTGTTGGAGCGCACTGACCACCAGGGGGCAGCTTCTGCATGGAGCGTCTGCCCCTGGTGGTCAGTGCATGTCATAACGACTGGTTGTTCCGCCGTTCGGTCGATTTGCATATTAGCCTTTTATTATGTCGGAGAGTGGTGGTATTCACGGCCCTGTGGTCTTCACAGCACTCTCGAGAGCACTGTAATTCATCCTCTTTTGAGGGATGAGGAAACTGAGGCCCAGAGGAGGCACCCAGCTTCCCCCAGGCCCCACAGTGAGGGCACTGTCAGGTCAGTGTGCTGTGTCCCAGATCTTTGTTCTCCCTGCCACGCGGGGGAACAGCCTGATCCCAAAAGCGAATTCCTTTTCAGCCGCAGCTGCTGCGGCCGCGTTTGTGAATCAGCTCCGTAAAGACAGGCTTCATGCGCGTGGTTCCTGCTCCTCAGGGCCGGGCGTTGACAGCCAGCATGGGAAGAGCCTTTGAGGACAGGCCTGAAATAGACACGCCGCTTACACACTTACATGGAGGGTGGCTGTGCCGGGGGAAGAGGAGGCTGATGGGAACTGCACGGCCCCGCCACCTGTGCTGGACCCTGCCACGCTGGGCCCGGGCAAATCGCTTACCCCAGGGCTATTTTTGAAATAAACGCCTAACTCTCCAGGGTATGAGCGGGTCCCCTCCCCACGAGAGGGGGGTGGACATCGTTCTGCACAGCGCAGGGCAACACACGCACAGCTGCCTTCTCTGGACACGTATTTTCCGGAGTCCCTGAGCGAGCACGCTTCCCTGGGCAGAGCTGCCTCTGGTTCCATGGGGGCTGGCAGGCAGGAGAGGTGGGGGGCCGTGTCCCCCCTCAGGCTCTCGGTGGGGCGGGGCAGGGTCTCCCGCAGTGACTTTGCCGTGTGCTCCCAGTGCCCGGGACACACACACCTGCCGGCTTTCTTCTCGCCCCGTCGGACAGCCCGGCAGCTGGGTTGGAAGCTAAAATTATCAAAGCCTGACGTCACCCGGGCGTGAGGGCAGAGCCTGGGCTGCTCGGCAGCAGGACACTCGGGCGGGCAGTTCTGGGGAAGGGCTGGTCGGTCAGTGTTCTGCCTGGAGAGAGAGAGAGAGAGTGGGAGACTGAGGAGGGGGGATGGGAGGGGTCCCAGGAGGCCTCGGAGGTCCAAGAGGAGAATGAGCGCTTGCACCCTCGCAGCCGCCAACGCCCCGGCTCCGCGGGCGCCCGGAGGGCGGGCTGGTGAGGATGTGGACGTTCATCACCCAGCTCCTGGTCACCCTGGTGCTCCTGAGCTTCTTCCTGGTCAGCTGCCAGAACGTGATGCACATTTTTAAGGGCTCTCTGTGCTTCGTGCTGAAGCACATCCACCAGGAGCTGGACAAGGAGCTGGGGGAGAACGAGGGCCTGAGTGACGACGAGGAGACCATCTCCACCAGGGTGGTCCGGCGTCGGGTGCTCTTCAAGGTAATCGCCGGGCAGGAGGCAGGAGGCAGGAGGCAGGCCTGGAGCTGGCGGTGGGAGTGCGGAGGCCAGGAGGCCGGGCTGAGGGCACAGTGCAGGGATGTGGAGGAACGAGCTGGGGCAAGGCGCCAGCCTCTGGGTCAGGAGAGGTGTTGGAAGAGGAGGGACAGGAAGGCCTCAGGGGACAGGCCCTTGGGAGCCACCCCTCAGCCAGGGCCCAGAAAGCTCAGCTCTGGGACTCAGCAGGCCGTTCTCATCCTGCTTCTGTCCTCAAGTTGCACACAGTGTGCTGGTGTCTGTGGAGGGGCTTCTTCACTGTCAAATGTTGTAGAAATGCAAATTAGGCGCCTCACATCCTCTTGGTCTTCTCTGTGAAACTTGCATAATGGGCCCTGTTTGCCGGCTCCCTGGTGCTGTTGTGGCCCCCCCCCCCCCCACACACACACACACACAAAGCTCTGGGCACTGGGAGCGGTGGTTTGGCTGCCTCTACCTGCTGCGTTGGAGTTCCTGCCCAGGTGGGGACTTGTCGGACTGTGGCTGTGGCTGCTGCTGCTGCAATTCTACCTCCTTGTTCTCCAGCCCTGCTCCGAGACTCCCGCTTCTCCATCCTGAGTTTTCCCCCTTTCTCTCACTGCAGGGGAGCGAGCTTCAGAATATTCCAGGGGAGCAGGTGACTGAGGAACAATTCACAGACGAGCAGGGCAACATTGTCACCAAAAAGGTGGGTGCAGAGAGCCCCCTGAGCTAGGGGGGAGGCACGCAGGCTAAAGGGCAGGCCTCGGATCCGCCTCCCTCACAGAGGGGGAAGCGTGGCTCAGCTGGGACAGTGACTCTCCTCATGGCCACTTTGCCCGGATTCAGCCTGAACTGAGCTCCTGCCTGGAAAATGGCTGCAGGACAGCAGTATGGTGGTCCCCAGACTATCCCCGGCCTCTTACAATGAAAAGGACGTGGACGTGCATTGAGTTGGCAGCAGATTTTAACTCGGCAGACATGAAGTTGCCTGTCCAGGGTTGGGCACTCTGCTAGGTTTGGGCAGAAGGGAGAAGGAGGAGCAAAGGGAAGACCTTGTATGGGCTACATCGGAGCAGGTCCCTTATGTCCGTCTGTCCTTCTGCGCACGAGCTTCGTGTGGGCAGGGGTCATGCGTGTTTATGTTTTCCTCCCCCCCCCCCAGCCCATGGGTGGTGCAGAGTAAACAGTTGCTGGACTATTTTGGATGAATGAATGAGGGAATGGGTAGATGGCATTGGATTACCATAGTTGAAAAAAGAAATGTCCTCTGCCCTCAGGAGCTCCTAAGCATACAGGCAGCGTAAACTGCCATCGCTACCGAGAGGCAGAGGAGCTGCTGTTGGCTAAGACAGAAGTGACGCACGTCCCACCCGTGGTCATTGAAAACCTGCCAGGTCCCCCCTGCAAATTCTAGTCCCTCCGAGGCTGTCCAACGCGGACGATGGGAGCGGGAGACCCACCCCTGTTCTTGAGGACACAGGCTGCCTCTCCCCCAGCTCCAATCCCGGGAACCCACTCCTTTCGAGCTCCATCCCGAGGGCTTCACCAGCCCTTCCTCCCCGCCCTCTCTTTTCCAGATCATCCGCAAAGTGGTCCGGCAGATAGAGTCGTCCGGTGCCGATGACACCCAGGAGCGCGAGGAGGTGATTGTCGAGGGGCCCCCGGAAGATCCGGGGGAGGTGCCCGTTGATATTGATGACTTTATGAAGCACATCAAGGTACCGTGGGGGCCGCAGCCTCCGAGGCCCTCGCTCTTCCGAGCGGCCCGACGCCTGTACCTGCTGCTCGCCTCTGTGCCAGGCACTCCTGGTTCCGGTCTGCGCTGTGCTCACCTCTCCGGGTTCCCCTTCCGGCCTTCCTCTCCCTGGAAGGCGGCAGACACGCCTTCCCTTCTCCTCCCTACTTGTTGCCTGCCTGTCTGTGCGATCTGTCCTGTGTTCTGTCTCTGCTGCTGTCCCCAGGTGGAGCGGAGAGGGAATAGCCTGCAGCCGGACCTGATAGAGGGCAGGAAGGGGGCTCAGATAGTGAAGCGGGCGAGCCTGAAAAGGGGGAAGCAGTGACCTCGAGCACCACCCCCTCAAACGGGCTCTTTGGAGGTAACACGGTCTTCCTGCATCCTTTCTGCATGGCGTGGTCTCCCTCGGCGGAGTGGCTGCTCACATCCTCTCCCGCCCCTCCCAGCATGACGCAGGGGGGTGGGGGCAGCGTTGCTGTGGTCCAGGGGCATGGACTCTCGTCCCCCACCTTCCAGCTGTGTCTCTGACTCTCGGTTGTCTCGTCCAGAAAACAGAGTCCACCCTCTCTGCCCACCTGCCTCTCAGGAAGTGCAAACATAACAGAGTTTTGAAAAACGCTTGGATGCGTGGCAGGGCTTGGTAATCGCAGGAGTGGCATTACCCTGGCAACCAAGCAGTGGGGACCTGGAAAATGGGGAGACAGGGCACCCGAGAGGGCAGCTGAGTCTGTCTAGCCTGTGCGAGGCCAACCCGCAGTGACAGGCCTTGAACCCGGAGCCCTGCAGACGTCCCCTCCGCCCGAAGGCCTCCCTTCCCCTTGGTGGTTCCTGGAACCTGTCACTCCCGTGCTTTCTAGGAAAGGGCGAAGTTCGCGGGCCCAGAGGCGGTGGTGTTTTCCCGACAGGCCTGGAGGGCCTTGGGGCCTGGGTGCATGGCGTGCGTGAGCATGAGTCTGAGCAGCCCGGTGTGCGGTGATGTGTCCTGACGCAGGGCCGTGAAGACGGGCGGCGGAGGCTGTCCAGCAGGCCCCGCGGTGCCGGGGGCTCCAGCGGCCGCTCTGACCTGTCCTCCCTGAGGCATCCTGTACTGAGCTGCCCCGAGGCTCTTCACTGCACCCGGCTCGGGGCAGCTCAGTACAGGATGCGTCGGGGTGGGAGTCGGCAGGACGCCAGGAAGCCCTGTGGCCCCAGCGCAGCACTAACCCGGTTAGTTACTGCCGTTTCAGCCCACAGACCCCGGCTCTGGGCTGAGCGGCGGTGGCGAGCCAGCTCCGGCTCTCTGCTCTGGGCAAAGAGCAGGGCCACCGCTGCTCCCAGCCGCCAGAAGTGCTGACTCTGGGCTTCCACACCTCGGCACTTGGCAAAAAGGGGTTGGCAGATCCAGCTACGGGATAAAATTAGACCTGACTCCTCAGCAGCTTCCCTTAAGGAGGTCACGGCGTTAACCCTGGCACTGCCGGGGGCCCCACCAGGCTGCTGGTTTGGGAGAGGAACTGCAATCAGCCCTGGAAGTAATCCAGATCATTAGAAACCTCTCTGCCTTATGCTCCTTATGGCGGCAGCAGGGGCTTTGAACTTCAGCTCCCAGTCCTCTGACAGCCCTGAGCCGGAGAGAGGCAGCCCGAGGCCAGCCTGGGGAGGAGGGGCGGAGCCTAGGGATTTTCTTCTTTTTGTTCCTGTAGATGCTCCAGCTGCACCACCCACAGGGATGTGGGTCCAGACCACTGAGTTGGGTGTTGGGGACACAGAGCAGCCTGGCTCCAGCACAGTGCTGTGGCCTCTGCCCAGAAAAGGCCAGGGGTGTGTGGTGGGACCGTGGGGAGGGAACCAGGAGTGAGGGGGGCACCTGCCTGGGTCCCAGAGGGCCTACTGCATGCTCCCCTCCCAGCAAGGCAGGCTGCAGAGAGGACGGGAAGGGGCTGAGAGCGCTCTGCTCCTTTAATGCTACCACCCACTCGCAGGCATGTGCAGTCGGCCTTCGTTACCTGTGGACTCCACACTTGCAGCTCCACCCACTAACTCAAATTTAGTTTCACCCCCAAACCAACCGGCACAGCACGTCCGCGGTCACTCACGGGCCCACGCACAGTGGTGAAGAGTTTGAGTCATTTCCCAGCTGAAGTCTAACGAGGTGGCGCTCTGCCCTCTGGTTTCAGCTCTCATGCAATATATAAACACCTGTCTTTTTTGTGGTGTATTTAATGGCACGGCTGATTTTTTTTTTTTTTTTTTTTTTTTTTTTTTGTATTTTGGGACTGTGTGCCAATTGCACAATTGCACCTTGTGATTTCGCTGTTTAAAATGGCCTCCAAGCCCAGCCAGTGTAGTTTGGTGGTTAAGTGTTGACCTATAAACCAGAAGGTCAGGGTTCAATTCCCAGTCAGGGCACTTCCCTGGATTGTGGGCTCAGTCCCCAGGAGGGGCATGCAGGAGGCAGCCAATCAATGATTCTCTCTCATCATTGGTGTTTCTATGTCTCTCTCCCTCTCCCTTTCTCTCTGGAAAAAAAAAAAAAAAAAAAAAAAAAAAAATATATATATATATATATATATATATATATATATATATATATATATAATAAGATGACCCGCAGAGCTGTCTAGTGTTCCTATCCTACGTGCGGGAGGCTGTGACGTGCCTTACAGGAGAATACATGTGTTCCATGAGCTTCATGCAAGCATGAGCTAGAGCACTGTTGGCCAGGCATTCAATGTGAATGAGCCAATGATACATATTAAAGAAGGTGTCTTTAAACACACATCACACAGGATTACGTATTCATTGGTTGACAAAAATATTGCAAAGAGGCTGGCAGGAGCCTGATGCTGTATTTTCCTCAGGAGCAATAGTTCAGTACTGGCTAATCCACTGTTCGTGGTTAATTATGTAGAATATTACTGCAGGTAACGAGAATCGGAGCGTACGTTTCAAAGAGGGTGAAAGCTTGGGCTTGGGTCTAGATTGAGGCCTGGCGCCTCAGGCTTACAGGTTGTGAAGGGCAAAGGAGAACATCTGTATTCTGGCGCTTAACCAGTCACAGATCTTATTTGTAGTCTGACCTGGATAAGTGGACTGATCTTTCAAAGCCTTGGGCTCCTTGGTAAGAAAATAACAATGACACAGATGCCCCCCTCACAGGGAGGGTGACTGCTGAGTTGATGTTTGTGAACGGGCTTTGGGAAGTGTACTTTCTAATCCGCTGTTTCTCAAAGTGTTAGCTGCATCCCTGCAGCTCAGTCATCTAGAGTCTGATTGCAATGCGGACTCCTGGTCCTTGCCCAGACCCCCTGGGCTAAAGTTCTAGGACTCAGCTTCTGCATCAGCTCAAGTGATTTTTACAGGCATACGGAAGAGTGGGTTATGATGGCTGATTTTGGTTTTCCCTTACAAACCTCCCAGTGGCACACTTGTAGACTTTAGATTTAAAAGGTGAGCTGAAAGGAATGATGGTTGGAGTTGATTCCGAGATGTGGAACACCCACAAAGGGCAGAACACCCAACCCCCGTGAGGACTGAGCGGACCACAACTGTCCCCTCTGATGTCCCCACAGTCACTCCCTCCTTGGGAAGACGTTTGCATGTAAGGCTTGGCGCATCGGGGAGGGGAGCTCCCGGGAGTTTTTAAGAAGTTAGACAATTGCTGCTCAGTCAAGGCCTGATTGATTGGGGCAGACCGTAGCAGCTGGTGAGCTTTGCTTTGTGCCCAAGGATTTAGGGCCAAGAAAAAGGGTGTCTGAGCTGTTAGAACAACAGCACGGAGCTGGGCAGCTGGAGGGCTGTGGGCAGAGCCGGGACAGGGTCCCGGTTCCTGGCAGTCAGTCCCCTGCACCTATCTGGCTCCGCCTTCTGGACTCTCGGAAAGCTGCAGCGCGAAAAGGCTGCTGGGTGTTTTGTTTGTTTTGTTTCCTTTTTAAGAGACACTTTCTATTCAAACAGTAGGGTTGCAAGACTTGTGTTGGCTCTGACATTAGAATATACATAATAATCTCAATAGGAAGGGAGGCAAGGGGTCGTGGTTTGTTGTTGTTGTTGTTTTGTTTTGTTTTTTAAATATAATTTATTAATTTTTTTTACAGAGAGGAAGGGAGAGGGATAGAGAGTTAGAAACATCATGAGAGAGAAACATCAATCAGCTGCCTCCTGCACACCCCACACTGGGAATGTGCCCACAACCAAGGTACATGTCCCTGACCGGAACCAAACCTGGGACCCTTTAGTCCACAGGCCAATGATCTACCCACTGAGCCAAACCCGTTTTGGCTAGGAGGTCTTGTTTTATTTGGCTGTTTTAAGTTACAATCTGCTCTCTCTCTGGGATATTGTAGGTGTGTTGAAGGCTGGGCTGGGAGAGGGGGGCGGGGGAGAGAAGAGAGCCACAGACACTGAGTAGAGGGTGGGAATAGGTGGGACAGCACAGAGAGCTGCCCTGAGGAAAAGGACCTGATTAGTGCAGCCACTGCTTGTGGGGGGGCTCCGTACAGGGTAAGACTTTTCTCGAGGGAGGCCCCCAGGAGAAGGGGTGCAGGACTGAGGAAGAACACTGAACGTGGCCGGAAGACTTGCATTCTGCCCCTCCCCTTGCTGCTGACTGGGCCTCCCACTGGATCTGTCCGAGCCTCAGGAGTCTCAGTTTACCCACAGATGAAATGAGCAGTCGCCACAGAATGATCCCTTCTGCTCCCTGCCTGGGCAGGAAAGCGGGTGAGAGATTGCTGCCTGACTTCCCCAGGCTCAAGATTTCATAAGGTCTCTTGTTCGAGGCATGCTTAGCACTGGGGCAGGCGGTTGGGGGGCCACCAGGAAGGGTAAGGCCCGCTGTTGCCCTCAGAGAATTTGTATGGGCAGCCCGGGGAAGAATGCAGACTGGAAAAGGAATGACATGGCGATAGCATTTCCAGAGAGTCCATCTGTAGTTTCATTCACATACCATTTACTCTCTGAAGCTCTTTACCTAGTATATGCCTTTATTAATAGTTCTTCTAAACATCATAATAACCTAATGAGGTTGTTGTTGTTCTTCTTCTTGTTAATCTTCATTTTAGGATATTTCACATTGATTTTTTTTTTTTAAGAGAGTGGAAGGGAAGTGGCGGGGGGAGAGAGAAACATCCATGTGAGAGAGACATATCAATTGATTGCCTATCTCATGTGCCCCAACCAGGGCCCGGAGCAGGGTATTGAGCCTGCAACTGAGGTACATGCCCTTGACCAGAATCGAACCCTGGACCCCTAAGTCTGCAGCCAACACCCTACCCACTGAGCCAAACGAGCCTGGCTGAGGTGCATCTTCTCATTGCCCTTGTTCTCTAGCAGGGGAAACTGAGGTATAGAGAGCGGAAGTAACCTGACCAAGGTCACACAGCAGGAAATTGGGTGAGACAGGACGTGAACCTCAGGCAATCTGGCTCCAGAGTACATGCTCTTACCCACTACACGGTGTGGTTGCGCTAAATAAAGATAGTGGCAGGAGGGAAGTTTCCAGGATTCTGGGAGGAGAAACAAGAGTGAGCCAGAGTCATCAGGAAGGCTTTGTGGAAGCGAGGTCTTGAGGGCAGTGGGCAGGACTTTAGGGGAGAGGAGAGTGCATGGTACCCTTGCCGGGAGAGCCACGGACAGAGGCAGGCAGCAGGCAGGGCACTGGGGCTCGGAAGGCAGGAAACTATGATGGAAGAGTCTTGCCCTCCAGGGTGACGGCTCCTTCAAGCCACAGCAGTAGGAGGCCTCTGGCAAGGAACTTACCACCACCCTCCCATTCCTGGAGAACCATTCAGAGAGAGTTCACTTGGTCACCTCCAGCTTTCTCCCCAACCCTGTCACCCATAAGGCCCCAGACAGCCCTGCGTGGGAACAGAATGGGGTTCTGTGTTCCTGTGTCACTTCCCGCGCCACCCAGGAGATCAGCAGCTCCTCTTTATTTAAGTCCTCCTTCTCCTCGTCATCCCAAGGTCCCTGCAGACAATCGCAAGTGGCCGGTCTTGGACACAGAATTTCACTCCTGGTTGGGGGTGAGGCACTGAGGGGTGGCAGGAGTGGGGTCTTGCTGTGAATCCCGGGCTTCAGAATGTGGAACTGATGCTGCAGGCAGAGTGCTGTCTTCTAGCCTGATGCACAATACCAGTGTCTTAGGGAGCCTGCACCTGTCCTCCAACGACCTCATGGCCACCGCGGAGGCTGTCCATCCTCAGGGCCTGGGGAGAGGAGCTACAGGCCCTTGACAGTAAGAGCTGTGGACCAGAGCCAAAGAGGCACTGCTGTCTCTTATAGCCATAATCTTGTCTACTCCATCTCCGGGGTCCCGGGGATGACACATAGCAGATATCCCTGCGTGTTGGCTAACCTGAACTGAAAAAGTAGAGGGTACCACTGCCTAGTGTAGCCCCTCTCGGCACAATCCCTGGCTTGTGATCGTGGCCCCTTTCGTAAGTACAAGATCTACTCATTTCTCCCCCAGGTGACTGCATAGGCCAGAGCGCCTCCCGCCTCCCCTCCGAGGCGCTGAGCACCCACACGGGAGGGTTTTGTATGGGAGGGATCATCCACTCGGCAGGGAACTAGTATCGGCAGGTCAGCCACCCCTGAGAGGCAGCCTCTGGGTTGGGGCGTGGAGGAAGGGTAGCTGGTATCTCAGGAAGATCCGGGGCTTCGAGCTCAACTCCTTTCTGCTCATCCATCGCCTTGCTTGGGGAGGCTACTTTTCCTGAATCAAACCTGCCTGAGTAGCCAGCACAAAACTCGGCGTTTGGGTTTTTTTTTGCTAGGAGTTGCACCTGTACATTCTAAGTGTCTCCTTCTCTCTTTGTGCCCCTTAGGATCACACCTCGACACCCAACCCTTGAACTCCACACACTCTGCCATGCACACGGGAGGAGAGCTGGACCGGAGGGCAGCACAACTGCGCACACGCTCCTCTAGGCTAACGGCATGATCTCCGTAAGGGACTTCCTCTAGTCTCCCATTCGCATGAACGACCGACTGTAGACGCATGACCTACAGTCCTCAATCCTGCCTCTAGCGACAAGCGATCTCTGTTCTGTTGGGAATCAGGACAAAAAAAAAAAAAAAAAAAAAAAAGCAGCAAGAATGAGGGGGAGGGGGGGAGAGGGATGGAAAGCAAGCGCCAGAGAGCGCACGAACGCAGAAGTGAACAAGGGCTCTTTGTGGCTGGGGATGATCTATTTTTTTAAATCATTTTCATTTTGACTTGTTACAGGGTACTTATTTTTTCAATATCTGTAAGAAATCTATATGGGCTTCCTGGAAAGGAGAGAGAGAGAGAGAGAGAGAGAGAGAGAGAGAGAGAGAGAGAGAGAAAGAGAGAGAGAGAGAACACGGCATGGAATCAGTGGAATCAGTTCAGCACCTTAATCCCATGTCCTCATCTGCCAGTCTTCCCTACCCACACATCCCCCCATTCCATATGTGATGGCCCCTCCCTCTCCCCAGGGGACTGTTACCCCCAGAACTCTCTACATGGCATTAAGAACACACACATGCACACACACACTCTCACACACACAGAGGCACCTCTCCCCTCTACTCAGTATACACACAGATTTTACTGTGATGTCTGAAGCTGTATAGAATCTCCTGTGGATAAACTGGAATTTTTTTTTTTTTTATGTTGCCTCTCTCCTCTTCTCTCTCTCTCTCTCTCTCTCTCTCTCTCTCTCTCTCTCTCTCTCTGCCAATTTCAGTATTAATCATCTTCCAATGGAAAATCATTACCTTTGGAGTGCATTTGGGGTTCCCTGAGTTAGGGACCCAGGCATAGCCGCAGGTCTCACAGGGAGCCAGTGCCCCGTCCGAAAGGGTCGTGGCTCTCCGTTGGTGGCTGTCCCAGGATTGCACCAGCATGTTCACTAGAGAAGAGGTTTTTCTATATCTTCAAGCACTTATATCCTAGTCCGTGTTCAAAGTGTAAACTGTACAGTAATCAGCCTTGTGTATATGAAAAAATAATAAATACTATGCAAACCAATAGAAACACGTTAGCAGTATGTGCACAGCACGAACAGCTCAGCTCTGGGGCTTCTCCGGGCTGCGGGAGGAGCCACAGCCTGTCTCCGTGCCAGAGGGAGTAGGGCTAAGGAGTGGATCTGTGGGTTCTCAGAAGTCAGCCGCCCCCAGGGTCTCCCAGAGCGAACTCGGTGCTCTATGTCTAGGCAGCCGGCAGGATGGGGAGCCGAGGCTGACAGCCTCAGTGTCCCCACTCTGACCAAGCCCCTCTGCCCACCTTAGCAGAGAGGAGGGTGAGGGGCCCACTCCTGACCCCATGCCCAGGGGAGGGCCAGCTGGAAAAGGAAGAGGAGGAGGAGGAGGAGGAGGAGGGAGGAGGAGGAGGAGGAGGAGGAGGAGGAGGAGAGAGCTGATAACCTGGAGGCCTGGAGCTAGGAAGGAGACTCCCCTAGGCCAGGCCTCCGGGCAGGGCAGGGCAGGGCAGGGCAGGAAGGAAAGAGGCGGCTGGCTGTTCCTTGCCTCGGTGCCACCAGGGAAGAGCCTTAACGTTCCACTAGAGCCTCCGGCAGAGGGAGGCCCGAATCAGCACAAACCGCCCCGTCCTGCGTCCTGCGCGGCGGGCGCCCCCCAGGGCCAGAGGGAGAGGGGCCGGCTCTGCCTGCTGTCCCAGAGCCACTGTGCGCGGGCGGCCGGTCAACGTCCTCCCTGCCGCTCTTCTGAGGTCCTCAGAACACAGTCACACTCTCCAAGTAGCACAGAAGCCCCTCGGTGTCCGAGCCGCCGCCGCCCCGTGCCCGCCGCCAGCCCGCCCCGGCCCGGGCCCCGCAGGTCCTGGCGCAGCAGGCAGGGTGGCCGGGCGGCCGGGCAGCCGGGCTGGGGAGGGAGCCCGCGCTCCATGGAGCCCCGCCAGCCCGGCCCAGGCGCTGCTGGTCTGGAGGTTTCGCTTTTTGCTTTCAGAGGGGCCAGCCCAGGAGGGAGGGGACGGTGGAGCTGGCGGCCTCAGGCCCCCCCGGGCTGTGCCCCAGCCAGTGCATCGCCCACCCTCCTTGCCCTTCTTGCGGGGCAGGAGCGCAGAGCTGCTAGGCGGCCGCTTGGCCCGGGGAAGACAGGCACCCGCTGCTCAGCCCCGTCAGGTCCCTTCCTGCCCCGCCGCCGCCCAGCAGCCCCCCGCAGAGCCTGCTGCCCGGGCCGGCCTTTGCTTTGGCACCTCCCTCTCTGTACGGCTTGGCTGCTCGGCCCGCGGCCGCCCTGGCTGCCCGCTCTGGTTGCTAATAGATAGGAGCTGTTAGGGGAGGGGTCCGGGGTCTCCACACGATGCCTAGAGAATGCTGCAGTCTGCACATTATTAGACGCTTTTTAGAAGTTTTGGAATCACCTTGATTTTTCTAATTGTTATGAAAAATAAACCTTTTTTTCTCGACTCTCTCCCACATGCTCTGTAACCGGGAAGAGAATTCCCCTTCCTTGCCCACGATGATGTATAGACCATTCTCCCTACACCAGCTGAACAAATGTCAAAATTAATAAAGAAACTGACTCCATGGCACACGGCTCCATCTGTCCTTCTCGGTTCATCCTTTGGAGGTTGGGGGGGGGGGGAGGTTTGAGGGCCTGAGGCCGGAGTGAAGCCTGAGGGTGGACCGGTCAGCAGGGTGACCTGCACCCCAAGGAGGTGCCCAGCTTCCAGAAACCTGGACGGTCCCCCTTAATCATGGCCACCCACTCTGGGAGCAGCTCTCCAACCCCTGAGATGGTGGAACAGATTTCCGACACATCTAAGGATACAAGATGGGGGCTAGTCCAAGGTGGAGGGGGGCATCCCAAACCACCAGGGTACATGGCTGAGCCCTGGGGCTGGCATACACTCAGGGGGAGCCCCTGGCACCCCCTGTGAAGGCGTCTGGCCCCTGCACTCAATGCTTCTCCCAAGTTGAAGAACTTTTGGGAAAAGCACCCTGTTAGTTCTTAACATTGCATGCAGCCCTGGCAGGTTTGCTCAGTGGATAGAGCCTTGGCCTGTGGACTGAAGGGTCCCAGGTTCAATTCCAGTCAGGGGCACATGTCCTGGTTGTGGAATCCCCAGGAGGAGGCATTTGATCAATGATTCTCTTTCATTGATGTTTCTAGCTCTCTCTCCCTTCCCTTCCTCTCTGAAATCAATAAAAATATATTTTTAAAAAACCAAAACACAAACACTGCATGCAAAGCTGGCCATCAATTGGGCCTCAGTTTCCTCTTCTGTCAAATGGGAGAACGGATGAAGGGCTTGTGTGTCCTCCTGGGATCCCAGAACACGAATGCCTTTGTCCAGCTGACGTTAAATAAGAACCAAATCACTCACGGCAGCTTTTCTTTCTCAGAAGTTCCCATCGTTGCTGGTGACGAAGTCACAGTGGCGGGAGCACTCCCAGCCCTCACTCTGAAGCAGCTCTCTCAGCATCAGAAAAGCCACCCGACCCCGGGGGCCAGCCAGGGCTGTGCCACCGCACGGCCAGAGGGTTTTCAAAAGCTCAGGTTCCGTTGCCCGGGTGAGCCCGGGGGCAAGCCTGGGATTTGGAACTAAGTTTCCTAAAATAGCAGCTTGCTAGCACAGCCCACTCTGCTGGATTAGAACCTTTTTTTTCCCCCTGGTTTTAAACCAAACTTCTAGAAAAACAATCTCCACGCACAGCCTATCGGAGGCCTTCCCTGCACTGAGTTATGGGAGAGAGAACGTGGCTCAGAGACCGGCTCCGCCATGAGCAGTGGGGCGAGTCGGGCTCTGAGCGAGAGGGAGCCGCTGACTCCCGGGTCCTTGGCCTCTGACCGCAAACCACTTCTGGCTAAAGGGCACTTCCGGCCGCCGGCCAAAGCACGCCTGTGGGAGTGAGATCGAGGCGCCCACAGCCGGCCAGGCAGAGGAGCCACAGAAGCCCACCTGTCCTGGAGTCACCCTTCTTCCTGTCATTGGGTCTGTTCAGACCGGTAGCATGCTGGTTTCCATGAACAAAAGCAAGCACTTCAAGAAAGGATGCTCATTAAAAAATAATAATAATAATAAATATACACTGAAAAAAAAAAAAGAAAAAGAAAAAGAAAAAGAAAGGATGCTGCCCCTTACAGAAACAACCAAGTTACTCACTGCTATTTCCCTGTTTGTGAAAGGAGAGCCCCGGAAAAGCCTGGTTGGTTGTAAGAATGTATTGGGGGGTGGAGGAGAGGCGTAGGTACTCTGTAATCCAATCTAGTTTTATCCATCAAAAATACACTGAGCGCCAACCAAATGCCCGGCACAGGGGCCCACTGCTAAATCCACAGCTTCTCGGCCAACAAGATCCCAAACCCAGGCCAAGCCAGGCAGGTGCCCCCGCAGAGGCACGCGTGAGTCCTCGGTGGGGGAGGGAGGCACGGCAGAGGTGGTCAGGGGAGGCTGCCCAGAGGCAGGGGCAGGAAGAACACACACCCAGCCTGCCCAGAGCTGCCCTCTGCCCAGCAGACTCCCACCCCCTGGCTCTCAGGCCAGCCACAGGGACCCACACCCCCTCCCGAAAGCCCCCCTCCCCACTTACCCATCCCAGCATGGAGGAGGAAACGGGCAGCATCCGCGCTCAGACGGCACACTCCCACGGAGGCTCGGACATCGGCTCACGGGGGCCTGGCCGAGCCCCTCAGGACAGAGACCCCCCGCACGGGGCCTCCTGGCCTTCAGGAGAGCAGCTGCGAGACCCGAGACTGACAGCCAGCAGCTGCCTCTGGAGCCTCCGGGCCCCCGCCCGCCCACCTTTTCCTAGATGCTGGACTCGGGGACCAGGAGCAGGTGGACCCTCTGAGCATGAACAGAGCTTTCAGACTCTCTCTCTCTCTCTCTCTCTCTCTCTCTCTCTCTCTCTCTGACACACACACACACGCACACACACACACACACACACACGCACGCACACGCACACACGCACTGGCTGATTTTACAGTCAATCTTTCAAAGTGCAATTTGTCTAGGAAAAGCCAATGTGAGGCCCATGTGGATTTCAACCAATGGCGACGCGGCTGGCGCGGCTCAGCCAGTCTCCGGTCTGTATTCTAATGGGCCCGATCTTTATCAGGGAAATGTGGCTTCTCTGAACTTCAAACTTCTCAGGAAGGGTCCCCAGACTCAGAGGCAGAGGAGGGGTCTGAGCGGAGGCGTGGGGCACCCCTTTCCCCAGGCCTGGCAGGGAGAGAGGGAAGGGGTGCGGGCCGGGCTCTCGCCGGGCCCGGAGCACCTGACTTCCGAGCAGGGGACGAGGGCGACAGTCCCCGGGCAGCGGCTGGGCCGATGCCTTAGGCGGGAAGGTGGTTGGGAGCCGGGGGCCGCTTTCGACCCTCCATGCCTACCATGGGGTTCTGGGCCCGATCTCGGGGTCTCAGGGTTTAAGGAGCCTGGATCTGGGCTTCCTGCCTCCCCCTCGCCCTGAGCCAGGGAACATGGAGTCCAACCTGCAAGGGACGTTCCTGCTGAACAACACGCCGCTGGCCCAGTTCCCGGAGATGAAGGCCCCCGTGTGCCAGTACTCGGTGCAGAACTCCTTCTACAAACTCAGTCCGCCGGGGCTGGGCCCGCAGCTGGCCGCCGGCACCCCGCACGGCATCACGGACATCCTGAGCAGGCCCGTGGCCACGCCGAACAGCGGCCTGCTCTCCGGCTACCCCCACGTGGCCGGCTTCGGGGGACTGGGCTCCCAGGGCGTCTACTACAGCCCCCAGGTGGGGAATTTCTCCAAGGCCGGGAACGAGTACCCCGCCCGGACCCGGAACTGCTGGGCGGACACGGGCCAGGACTGGCGAGGCGGGCGGCAGTGCAGCAGCAGTGAGTACGATGGGGGGGGGAGGGGGGAGGAGAAAAGGGGGGAAGGGATCGTAAGGAGACACTCACGGTGGGCCCACCCCCACCGCCCACCTCTCCTCCGCGGCCATCAGACAGCCCAACGCAGAAGCCCAGACACCCGGCCCCACCTCTCAGCTGGGTGCAGGGTGCAGTTCTCCCCTCCATCTTGCTTGGTCTTCCTCCCACTCCCCACCCTTCCCAGCCTTCACCTCGGCTGCCCTCCCAGGGCACTGGGGTCCTTGGGCCTGGGGAAGACCACGTGGCCCACCCTCACCGGGCGCAGGGTCCACCTTCCTTCTCGCGCCCAGACACCGTGTCCCCACTTCCTCATCCGCAGCAGACAATGCTGTTCCCCGCGAGGAGCGGCTGCCTCAGCATCGTCCTCCCAGGCAGCCCCCTCGTGCCGGCCCCGACCAGGGACACGGGGTGCAGTGACCCCGTTGCAGTCCCACCTGTAGGGGCTGTTTCCTACCAGCCTCCTCAAGGTTTAGGTCCATAGCACAGCGACCCCTGCCCAGCCCCAGGGGCAGCCGCTGAGCCAGACTGCGTGCAGCTGGGGTGGAGCTCTCCCCCCCCTTACTCATCCCCAAACCTACTTTCAAAGAACCAGCTGGAGGAGGGGGCAGGGTGTGCACAGACAGGTGAGGCTCACCTGGGAGGCAGGGAGGTGACCGTGGCTGCCAGGGCCACCCCATGCCACAAGGCCCTGCCTCCACTCCTGGGTGCGGTGCACACACAGCCGCCCACTGCAATGGGTCCCAGCCCCAGCATAGGAAACTGGAAACCAGCCTCTTCCCTCTGCTGCACTGCTCCCCGCGGCCACTGCCTGGCAGACCGCCCCCCACTCAACCTGGAATAGCCAGTTCCTGGGGGTGAAGACCCCGTCTCTTGAAACATATTTTATAACCCAGTTTGGGGGGCAGTCTTCCCTCTCACCTCCACCTTCCTCCCTACGCCGAACACACACCTCCCCGACCCTCCTGTTCTTCACTCCTGGTGCACACTCACACATAGGAAACCTCTAAGAAAGTCAGTGGTTGGATGAACAAAGGGAGAGAGGTCTCTCCCCCTTTCCGTGCCTCAGTTTCCCCACCGGTAGCATGAGGAGGCAGGGCATGGGCCATCAGGCTGCACTGAACAAGGCCCGGCAGGTGGGCTCTCTGCTTATCCTGGGGCCTGCAGCCCTCCGGCCCCCTCCTGCCTAGCAGGCTGCCGTGGTGGGGCGGAGGGTCAGGTCTGGAGCCTCTGGGTCTGCACTCTCCGAGGTGGATGACTGACCCCCCAGGCCCGGGACAGGGGAGAGCAGTAACTTGGGGCTTAAGGCTCTGGTCTCTGGAGACCTGCCTGGGAACTAAGACCCCAAGAACAAGGAAGCCAGGAGGGGAGGGATTCTCAGGCCCCTCGGCGCTGATTGTGGGTGGAAGGTGCCTGATCCCTTCCTCGGGGTCCCTGCGATGGAGGGGAAACTCCTCTGGCCCCTGGGGGGGGCGGTCAGCATCGCTGAGTAAGAACATTAAACACAGGGGTGGTCCACGGCGGGCCCTCAGCCCCCCTCTGTCTCTAAGTAGCTGTAACCGGGGGCAGGTGCCTCTCTAACAGGTGTCTGCCCGTCTGGACATGGCCGAGGTCACAGTCACTAGCATCAGGATGTCAGGAATGCTGCTCATGTGAGAGGTGTCATCACCCACCCCCAACATCAGCGGCTTCTCTGTAGGTGGGGGAGACACAGGGCGGGCACCCCACTTACCCCGCTCACCACACTTGCCCTTCCTCCTGCCAGCCCCGGACCCCCTGAGCGACAGCATCCACAAGAAAAAGCACACGCGACCCACCTTCACGGGGCACCAGATCTTTGCCCTGGAGAAGACCTTTGAGCAGACCAAGTATTTGGCTGGCCCTGAGAGGGCCCGCCTGGCGTACTCCCTGGGGATGACCGAGTCACAGGTCAAGGTGAGTGTGTGTGTGTTGGGGGGTGGAGGGGATGGGAGGGGGAGAAGGTGGCTGCTGGCAGAGAGGAGCGCGAAGGACAGGATGCATCCTTGCTCTCCGGGCAACCCCCAGCTCTCAGCGAGGGGCCTCCTGTCTGGGCACTGCCTGCCCAGCCAGCCCCAGAGATGGAGATAATGACCTTAACCACACAGTGGCTGTCAAGACTGAGCCCAGATTTGAAAGCTTTGTTTGTAGTAGCTCATTTGACCCTCACAGCCACCTTGAGATGGGTATGAGGACCCATTTTACAGATTTAAAAATAAGAAGTCTGAGCTGAGCCTCACTCAAGGTCACCTGGGGGGTAAGTGCAGACATGGGCGTCAACCCCAGATCTGGGGGACTCCAGCCTCAGGCTTTCTCTCTTCTGCATCATTGGGAAGGAAACTTCGAGAGCTGGTGGCAGCCTCTGCCCCCATCAGGAGTGAACCTCCGGGCCCCATTGGGGCTGGATGCAGGCTTGTTCTATCAGCCTGCAGAGAAAGCAACAGTTGCTGACGTTCGGATGGGATGCCAGGTGTAGGGCGCCTGGAAGACCCAGGCAAGGGTCATGCTCATGCCCACAGACACCAGGGAGCCTGAACTCTGTAAGGGCTTTTGCCTCCTGAGGCTGCTGGGGTAACTTCCATGCTAGATCGGGGCACCAAAGAATGCTTTGAGCGATGCTGGGACTGAGGGCTCTGTGCCCGGTGACAGGCTTAAGGGTAAAGGAATGCCGGGAAAGGTGGGGCCTCAGGACAGGCTCAGGGCTCTGGATCTGCAGCGCCGCCCTCGGCAGCCTCCTGCCGGCCCAGCAGAAACTCTGCTGGAGAGAAAGCTGCGCATCTGAGAGGAACGAAACTCTGTGGCTCTCTTACACATTTTTCTGCTTTAAGTGCTTGACTCTTCAGCTGCCTCAGGCACGGAGACGAGATGATTTTTATAACTAAGCCGGGAACCTGTGAATGAAGTTCAGAGAGGGACGGTGGAGCTAAAAGAAGGGGTGACTCTGAGCACCCACTGACCAGCCCTCACTGGCTACACCCTCCCCACCCTGTCCCAGCATCTTCCTCCCGAGCGCCCAGACGGCAAACCCCGGGGAGGGTGACAGCTCAGCCTACAGGGCTGCTGCTTATTTTTTTTATTGCCCCCTAAGATGCTTATTTTTTTTATTGCTCCCTAAAAAAACCCGCGTGAACATTACAACCTACTCCAGTGTCTCCCAAAGTGTGGTACGGGTACCCCCAGGGGTACGGGAAGAGTTTGGTGGGGGTATGTGTTGCACCGGAGTTTGGTGGGGATATGCACTGCACCGTGCTTAGCGGCGCCTAATTCTGCGTTCTCATGAGTACGAGGGGTACTCAGCGTTACCAAAATTATAGAAGGGGTACACATAGGTCAAAAGTTTGGGAAACACGGGACTCCGTGAGTAAGCCAGGTGTTTATTCACTGTAACAGTAAGGACTGCGTGCACCTGCCGCCGGGCGGTGCGTGCTGGGGTGACCCGGTCCCTCTGCCCCAGGTGTGGTTCCAGAACCGCAGGACCAAGTGGCGGAAGAAGAGCGCCCTGGAGCCCTCGTCCTCCACGCCCCGGGCCCCGGGGGGCGGGGCGGGCGCGGGCGGGGACCGCGCGGCTTCGGAGACGGAGGACGACGAGTACAACAAGCCGCTGGACCCGGACTCGGACGACGAGAAGATCCGGCTGCTGCTCCGCAAGCACCGCGCCGCCTTCTCGGTGCTGAGCCTGGGCGCGCACAGCGTCTGACCCGCCCCCCAACCCCCAACCGCCCCCCTCTCCCTCCCCCGCAGCATCGCGGGGGCCGCCTGCACCCTGGTCCCTCCCCGCTGCAGGGGACTGGGCGCCTGCTAACCTGGGGGCTGTGGAGGAAGAGGGAGGGGAGGGGGAGGGAAGGAGGAGGAGGAGGGGTCAGAATGGGGTGGGGAAGACCAGCCTGGCTGAGAGAGGAGGGAGCCACGCACTGGGCCTGGGACCTGCACCCTCTCTGCCTCTTGGCCCTCTGGGGGGCCCAGGCCTTGCCCTGCCGGCTCTGCGGGTTCCTAAGTGCACAGGGGGATGAAATGACCAGGCTCTGCGCCCGGGAAACTGGCTGTGGGATCCCGGATTTATCACCCTGATCCAGCTGTGGGCCTCCCCCCAGGAAGGCGGCTGGCCCCGCGTGCAAGCGGCTCCCTTCTGCTCCCAGAGTTGAGAAACCAAGGTCTGGGCCCGGGCAGCTGCTGGCTGACGGGGAAGAAACGATGGCACGTCCAGGATGGTACCCTCCTCAGACCTGGGCCCTGGAGGGGCCAGAGGCAAATATAACCCAGGCTGGAGGAAAGCCACCTCAGGGAGGGGAGGTGGCTCCCAGGGAAGAAGAACAAACACCGTGAAGCCCAAATCAAGGCTCACTCCCCTGGAGGGATCAGGCCTGGCCTCCTCCCTCCTCTTTGCCCTTGATGGCGATTCCCCCAGACTGGAAGAGACAGGAAGGCCCACAGCTGGCAAGGACAGAGGTGGTAGGCAGGGGCAGAGGAAAGACTGGAGAGCCCCAGTAGCTGATGCCACACCCCAGAGCCACCCACCTGGCTTTCCTGGGTGCTGAGGCAAGAACCCAGAAGGAGGGGAGGGACGGTAGGGCTGGCAGGAACCTCAGCATTGGGTGCCCACACAGGAAGGAGAGGCCAAGGCCGCAGAGAAGGTGCATCTGGGTTTACAGGGACCCACGACCTGTCCTTACCTTGGACCCCCTGAGCCTGGCACTGGAGCTGATGCTGGGGCACTGGGGGAGGACACTGGCCAGCAGGGTGGTGTTTTTCATCCCAGGGTGGAAGTGGGAGGGAAGCAAGTAAGGCTGACCAAATGAATGCAGCCCAATAGGGACCAAGCATGTGCCCAACCTCATTGGCTTTTTTTTTTTTTAAAAAAGAGTAAAGCCGGGACCGGTTTGGCTCAGTGGATAGAGCGTCAGCCTGCGGACTGAAAGGTCCCAGGTTCGATTCCGGTCAAGGGCATGTACCTTGGTTGCGGGCGCATCCCCAGTAGGGGGTGTGCAAGAGGCAGCTGGCCGATGTTTCTCTCTCATCGACGTTTCTAACTCTCTGTCCTTCTCAATTCCTCTCTGTGTAAAATCAATAAAATATATATATAAAAAAATAAAAAAGAGTAAAGCTGCGGCCGGTGTGGCTCAGTGGGTTGGAGCAGCGTGCTGTACATTAAGAGGTGGCAGGTTCAATTCCTGATCAGGGTACATACCCAGGGTGCAATCCCCGGTGGGGGCAACTGATGAATTGATGTTTCACATCAATGTTTCTTTCCTTCTCTCTCTCCCCCCTTCCTCTCTCTCTATAATAAATAAATAAATATATATATATATAAAGAGTAAAAATAAAAGTCCCAGAAACCTCCCCATGGCTCCTGCTCTTCTGTGGAACTGGCTGTGGGGTCCCAGGCATGCCAGCCCCGAGGGGCCCTCCCAGAGGGCAGGCCTCCCTCCCAGGGGGAATATCAATGTTCTGGGAGTCCCAGAGCTTTGCACGATATTGGTCAACTTGAAATCTCATTGGTATACGCCAGGCACTGTCCTAGGTGCTGAGAAACCAGAGTTTATTGGGGTCCCTGATCTCCAGGAATTCATAGCCTAGTGGGGGAAATTATCTGTTTGGGGAACTAGGTGCCCCATAGGAAAGAGAATAGGGGAGAAAATAAAAGAACTGACACCTGCTAATTTCTCCCAGGATGAAGCCTAGATTACCCCACTTCCAAGAAACCTAGGAAGTTATCCTCGTTGCACAGGTGAGAAAACTGAGGCTCAGAAAGAGCCTGACCCAACTCGCAGAAATGGGACAAGTTGACTTCGAGGCCCTCACACCTGTTTGCCCCACAGCAAGGGGCAGCCTTTTCTGCAACAGGAAAGGCTGGAATGAGAGGTGCTTTCAGGGCCCTTCCACCTTTATGATCTCTGCAAACACCCAAGCCCAAGTAGCAGCGCGCAGCCTGCCCTCTCAGCTGTCCCAGCTGGTCCTTCAGCCTGTGCCTTGGGCCTGGGCACAGGTGAGTCTGGTCGGTGGAGTCAGCTCAGCTGGAAGGTGAGAGGAAGACCCAGCCAGGAAACTGAGGCACCAGCCTGATGAACCCAGAGGACAGGGTAGGGTGACAAAAAAAAAAAAAACAGAGATTGCTTTTAAGCTCTAACCCTCAATATGCAATGAAGGCCCCATGTGGAGTCTCGCCCCATGAAGGGGGAAGGATATAAGAATTGAGCACCATCTGTGTGCTCCTGGTCACAAGGTGCATTGAGGACCCCTCCGCCGACAGGGGTGTCCTGATAGTGGGGCCCTGTGGCCACACCCAGCAGAAGGGGCAGCAGCCTGGGGGGACCTAAGGACTCACAAAAAAACAAATGCTTCTGAAATCTCAGGGAGCCAGGCATGCAAAGTCATCAAGCAAGTATGGAGAGAAAGCCAGTGACCAAAAACCTGTGCATGTTCGCCTTTGTCGTAAGTATATTGTAATCCTAAGTGCTCTGTCATCACTATAATTCTTGCATGTCTGATTCAAGTCCTCTGGAGTCAGTATTAAGTCCAGCCTGGGGGGAAGTTGGTTTTTTTTTCCTCTGGGAGACTTTTTTTTTTTTTTTTTTTTTCGCAGCAGAAATTTATTTCTTACTGTTTCATAGGCTGCAAGTTTGAGATGAGGTTGCCAGTATGGTCAGGAGGAAGAACCACTTTTAGTTTACAGAATCATTATATCCTCACATGGTAGTCGGGGAAAGAATCTCTCTGGTTCTCTCTTTATAAAGGCACTAATCTTATTCTCGAGGACGCCACTTTCATGATATGATCATCTTCCAAAGACCCTTCTTCCCAATACCATCGTATTGGGCATTGGGATTTAACATACAAACTTTGGGGACATACAAACACATTCAGACCAGAACACTGCCTCTGCTGGGTGTGTCGACAGATGACGGCACTTAGCTGAATCCCACTCACCAACCTCCAACCCAGCAATTGCCCTTTGCTGAGTGATCACACACCTTTCCTGTTTGCAGCCTGCATCAGACGTTCCATGGGAGGGGATAAAGCCTTAGCCGCCGTTCTGGGAGACGTTTGCTGAGCTAAACAAGACCTCCTCCAATCAAGGCTCTGGGACACTTGCCACGGGCCCCGTGGCTCCAGGACTCCAGCCTTCCCGGCGTCGCCCCTCCCTCACTGCTGTCCTGAGCACCGGGACCACTGCGCGCATATCTTGCTCAGGCCTCATCAGGAGACTAATGCAGAGTTTGGAGGCAGAGAAGAGCCCAAGGGAATGGCTCAGACTCCTGTGGGGAATTTGGAATGTCTTGCTCTCTGCAGATGTCCACATTCGTGTGTGTGCCTGCATGTGCATGTGTATATGTATGTGTGAATATATGTATGTATGTTGCTAAAGAACAGAGGCTCTGGTTGGTGTGGCTCAGTGATTCAAGTGTTGGCTCTCACACTGAAGGATCTCAGGTTTGATTCCCTGTAAGGGCACATACCTGGGTTGCAGGTTTAATCTTCATCCCTGTCATGCAGGAAGCAACCAATTGATGTGTCTCTCACATCAAAGTCTCTCTCTCTCTCTATCTCTCTATCTCTATCTCTATCTCTCTCCCTCCCTCTCTCTCTCCCCCTTCGATTCTCTTTAAAAAAAAAATCAATGGAAGAATAAAGACTATCTCACTTCCATCACAGAGAAATCATAAGCCATAAACCAACACCCACCCATTGTTTATGTCTGGTCATGAAAGAGACTCCTTACACATGATGAGTTAAAAAATAAACTTTTTAAGATATTCATGCTTCTTGCAACTTCTCTGCCACCACATCACAAACTTTTCAGGGCTGAGAGAAGAGGAAGGAATTAAGTCCTGTGCTCCCACAGCCACGGAATCCTGCTCTGACAGGCAGTCAGGAGGCTCCGACAGACAGGCCCAGGTCCTGCCACATCCCACAGCCCGCACACTTGTGGTTCCCAGTGTTAGAAGGACACGGGACATGTCCCCAACAGGTCGGGGTGAAGGCAGAAAATAATAGTGGGTCAGAATGGCGATATCCTGGTCCAGTGAGCGGTCCCCACTTTTCCCTGACCATTCCACGTGCTTGGGCTTCGACATTAAGTCACCTTCCTGGCCCCTAAGGACATCGGGGGGTGTGCGTCCTGCTAACACCGTGGTAGTCAAGCACATGGACCAGCAGCACCAGCAGCGATGGCCTCACCTGGGAACTTGTTAGAAATGCAGACACTCAGGCTCCGTCTGAGACCCTCGGGATCAGAAGCTGCATTTTAGCAAGATGCCCGGCAGTCTATATGCACACAGCAGTGTGAGAAGTTTGAAAGTGTGTGACTGGGTGAATGTGTCCAGATAACGCTCCTCTTCTCAAAGCACAGAGCCTGGCCCAAATCAGGGGCTCAGTAAAATATTCCTGGAAGGCTGTCGATGGGTGTAAGTAGATGCCTAGCATTTGTGACCGTTGGAACCTGATGGTAAAGGGGAAAAGTCTCAGAGGACAAGAAAGTAGCAGCTACAGGGCATGCACACACTGCTTTCCCAGGCAAGGCTCAGCTGCCTCGGGTAGGAGACTAGATTCAGAGAGGCCCAGAGCCAAGACACAAGAGTCCCAATGGGCTCCTAGCATCAGGCAACAAGCGGCAAGAGGAATTGCAAAAGCTCAGCCATCGGTGGGCATTGGTAAGAGGACTGAAAACCCAGCTTAGGTCAGAGGCCTTTGAGGACATCA